CACTAGATATATGTCAGAAGTATTTCAGTATCTTTAGATCTTCCGTTTGATGAAACTTATTCCACAGTCGAGCAGCCTTCTCATTCGATCAGATTTACTATTAAATTGTAATTGTAAAATGTACATACAGAAATACTCTTGCTGATAAAGAAACTACTAGGAAAATCTTAGACAAAAAGTCAACAGCCGTAGCACGTGTACCAGGCTGGCATGACAGTTAAAGAGTGTAGGCCGGGCGAATCCCATGTGGTATCAGCGTTACAAGCGATCGCACTTAACCGCGTCACTCGTATCATATCGCGTTGCAGCGCTATCAGTCAGCGTCGCCTGCTGCATTAGCCGCGTCGCCGCATCAATAAATTATACAAGACACCTCCACGCGGTCGCTGTCGCCCTGGTCACTCGCTCTCGCGCGAGTACGTCGACGTTCATTTAAATGCTTGTTTGTCTGTTTGCCCAGGTCTATATATAGCGAATTGCTAAGTGAACAACTTGGGGTTGGCAGAATCTCAACAATTTTAACAAAAAGATGTCGTATTTGATTTAAAAGGAGTAAGGAGGAGTAAGTTGATTTTACATCAAATGTACTTAGCGAAATTCAGTTTTACTAAAATACTCCAGAATGAAATACCTGCAAAAAATGTTTAGTAAATAATTATTATATACAAACTTGTATTGTGCTTTATAAACGTATAAAATGCAACAAAGTAACAATATTAACTGACAAATAATATGATTCGTTTCGTTTGTAACATATAACTGTGATAAAATTTGTTTACATAATTAGGTACAATTAAAAATAATACAAGCATATCAAAATATGGGCCTCAAACTTTGTATTTTCAATTATTATTGCAAAAGAAAACAATGACGCAGAATTACCACATTAGATTCCAGATAAAACTATCTCTTAACTTTCATTATACTTAGAAATAAGGAGATATAATCTACCTGGCTCGAAGGACCACAATGTTAAGTTGTTGCGCAATATCAATGGACATCTTATCGGACCATCTTATCGTATCCATCGATTTATTGAGAATGTAATAACTGTTTATAGTGATTGCTTTGTACTGAATATTGCTCCACGTATTAGAAAACATAAGTTTTCTTCTACCAAACATAGTCACGATCGTTCTTTCATCTCTAAATCCGATGTGAATCCATCGAAATGGCATCTTCAATCACTGTACATTTATTTAAAATCTCAACGCTTTCTCCAGCACAACGACATTCCTCAGAATCTAATGTCAAAGTTACAGGTCAGGTATATAAATAGCAAGAGTACGTCAGTGTGCTGTTATAGTACATAAGCCGCTTATTAAGACCGACTCCCACTCGGAGCTGAGGCACGCAACGGTTTAAATCAGGCTTCCATGATGCGGAGAATTGTAATTGACGAAAACAAGAAAGATGTATAAATAAATCTTGAGATACTTATAAATTATAATGACTGGTTTCTTTAAGTTCATTGAGAAACAAAATTTACTTTTCCCTTTTAACGTTAAAGTGAGAATATTATATGTCAAAGATAAACAAAAAAGTGATCAAACATTTGCCGTGTACTCTTGAAATATGAACTTAATTAATGAATTCTGTGGAACAAATTTATCGCTTGTGATGTTTTCTGATTCATACAACCTTCAAACCTCCAAGAAGTGAGAATTCTTTCACCTTAACAGCACACGTACTTGTGACTCTTAAGTTGCAGGGGTCCAAAGTCGACAGAACTACCATCAGATAACCCATCTCGCGGATTACTTGGTGGTGGCCTCCTATATCGTGAAATCAAATTAATATCACAAGCGTACGCAATTCATATTACGTACAATTTCATAACAAAAAAAGAACATTATCGTAATGTCTAGCGTTATGTAAACTCACACTAAGCGAGTAAGTGGAATAGTACGTACATTTCCAAGTAGGGCTGCGTCAGAGCTGGCCGGTTGCACCGAGAGCGTCTCGTAATCGACGGTTAACACTGACCGGAATAACCGTCAGTGGAGTAGTTTTTTTTCTTGTAAAATTTACTTTGGAAGTAAAAGTTTTTGATATTCTCTGTGATGATTGCTGTCAAGATTACGCTTAGTCGAACTCATAACTGAGAGCGTTGTATTATGTGTTAATGAGATAAATAATAGAATATTAATTTTTCTTATTTTTGAGGAAAAACTACAACAAATAGACTATATAATACTATTGAATTGAGAACTCCAATCACAGTTTTTTTTTTTTAATTTCCTTAATATATATTTATCTTGTTAAGTTTTTGTGACAGCCTCTTATAACTAACCTTAAACTAAAACTAACTGTAGTTAAATCTTAACTGCTAGTTACTAAACTGTAATATTGTAAACCAACCCGGAACAGCTATGCGAACGGCCACGCTCGACAGAAAAACTATATTTTTAATTAACCATCGTCGTCCAGCTCAGTGAGATCAGCTGCATTTCTCCTGCTAATCTCTTGCGCATGAGTGAACAGCTATAGAGAGAGAATAAGACCTTTTTACTGTCATCTTCTTTTCAATAAGTGAAATTTGTAGATGATTTTAGCAGCAGTTGGAGTACCAGGAATACGACCCTGGATTGCTTCCTCCTTCCATCTTTCAAGCAATATGCTTTAACTTCCATTGCTTTTTCTTCATAACCACTTGTAACTTCAAATGTACAATTTTTTTATCTTGAATTCCCATAGTGCTCGTCAACAGTCTTTAATAGTCCACTACTGGACATAGGCCTTAGAAAAGAGGTTTTGGCCAAAGTGTTCAGTTAACGGCTGAAGGTTTGTGTCCTAATATTGGGGGGGGGGGAGGAGCAAACAAACAGACGGATCACCTGATGGTAAGTGACTACCGTCACCCTAAAAACCTGCTACTCAAGTCACAAGAGCGTTGCCGCACCTAAGTCCCCAACTAGAGTCAGGAGGAGGTGGAGAGAGTATTTCTTAGCGTTCCATGGATTCACCGTGCGCGTGCCGGGTGACAGATGTAGGCAACACATGTGACTGCGACAGAATTGCGACCCAGGAATAGGTTTAGGGAGCACTCCTTGCGACGCTTCAGCGCTCACCTCCACTGTCTGATGTGTTGTTCCAACTGCTTAACCATATTTGATACACATTGCCGCTTTGGATAATCGTTCAAGAAAAGAACTTAACTCGGTCAAACGCAATGAAAGAAGTACTTAACACCGATTTTCTGTGAGGCCGTGGCATACCCGTGCTTGAGCCGTCCCATATCATTAAAAAATGCTGGACATAAGCCTCTCCTTAGAAATGAGGTTTTGGCTTACTATACCACGCTGACCAGACGGGTTGGTATAGGGTTTGTGTCAAGTTTTCCTTCTCTCTGTAGTGCTGTTGTTCTGGGTAGTTTTTTCCCCTTAGTCGACTCTTACGACTTCCACGGGATGAATAGGGGTGTTGATACTCTGTATTCTTAATCCGTCACTACACGGTGTGTACAAAAAATGTACTATACAATTAAGTAAGTAAACAAGCACCCAGCAGCTAAGAGCAAGATGATTTCCGTAACTCTCGACTGATTATTGATAACTGGGCGGTACTTCTAGTGGTTAGTAACCCTGACTGCTACGCCAGAGATCATGGGTTCGATTCCCACCCAGGACAAATAATTGTGTGATGAGCACGGTCATTTGTTCTGTGTTTGGGTGTACTATATTAATAGTATGTATGTATTTAGAAATATATAAGTATGTTTTATAGCAGTCTGGTCACCATAGTACAGGCTCTACCTAGTTTGGGATCAGACGGCCGTGTGTAAGATGTGTAAAAATATTACATTATTAACTAAATGAGTGTGCCAGTTATTGAACCCTGACAGTCGACAATTAGCCTATAACACCAACGTTCCAAACATTTCTTATCAACTACGTAGGTATAAAAATAAATCCTATACCTGTTTAAAATGACAGATGGGGTGTCAAATTGTCCAAATTTGTCAGTCGTCAAACGTCAAAGTGTCAAATTGATAATAGATAAGAGCTCTTCGTGATAACACAATCAGTACTGCGAGATTTCTGGCTTAGATAATACTTTATCTTCAAATTGTTGTGAAAGACACTGTTGTGTTATGAAAACTAATTCAAGTAGCTCACCATCATCATCATCATCATCAACAGCCTTTAACAGTCCACTGCTGGACATAGGCCTCTCCTTAGAAAGGAGGTTTTGGTCTACTATACCACGGTGGCCAGACGGGTTAGGATAGGGTTTGTTTTAAGTTTGCCTTCTCTTTGCTGTGCTGTTGTTTCTTTTTATGTTAGAGGGGAGATTATTATTGCATTCTTATGCAGACGAGCAGACGGCTCACCTGATGATGGAAAGTGCAAACGTCGCAAAATATAATTTCAACGGATTTTTTGTAGGTGTTAAGCATTATTTCTTCGTTGTTTTTCACCGATTGAAGGAGGTTACCAAATGTCCAAATCCTCTCTTCTTTCTTTCCCCCCCCCCCCCCTTGTCCTTCTTGGAGGGACTAATCTTGAGAAATTTCCTCCCGTATTAAATTTTTACCATCTTTTAATTTCACGAAAAAAATTGTCCATGTTAGACATTTTTCGGAAAAATATTAACGCAGGCGAGGCCGAGAGCGAAAACAAGTGTTTCTTGTAAAATAATATATTTGGATCGTTCGTTAGGTAACGAATTAACATACGCCGCAATTAATTTTCTTAAACTTATGTTAGTTTCGTTGTGTGTTCATAAAAGAGTTTAGGATTTTAAGTATACTTACCGTCTTTTTAAAATTTAATTGTATTTATTAAATTATATAATCAGTTTTTTACTTCTAATTTACTGTTTTAAAAAAATCTAGATAACCTGGTTTTCATTTTACGACGTCTACATTTTAGATGTAATTATAATTTTGATTTATATGTAAAAAAAAAACTAGCATTATCTACAAATGATATTTCTCATTTAATTATTTCCACAAGTCATAGTGTAGTATAACACTTTTTCTTTTTGTTACAGATGCAATGGGTAAGTGGCTCCAGGCTTCAGGAAGGTACCATAAATCATTTAAGGCTAAAAAGACTCTAACACGAATTCCAATCTTCATAAAATTCGAAAAATAATTATCGTTCGCGCGCTTTTTTTTCCCGAACAATAAGTCAATCCCGCTAACACTAGGAGTCCGCGCGGGATTCGCCTCGCGTCGTAAAATTTGATTAGGTCATTAAAGCCAGTTAATTTATAGGCGTTCGAACTTCGAACAACTCTCATTTGTAATAAACACACAAAAATCGACCATAAAACTGTGTAATTACGTCACATTTCACCTCGGCCTGTCGAACGGTATTTACGACGTTCTACAAAATAAATTCTAAGCGTATAATCTAAAATAACCTTTGTAGTAATTAATTGTACGGTGCAAAACTGTTTAGAGAAAATTTGAAATTGGAATGTCATTTTTTGTTCGAATCGCAAGTCACGTTGGTGACGTCATAAGGTATGCATGAGCCAATCAATGGCAGACCTTTGCCATTTGAGAAACGTATTTCTACACCTAGATAATATCTAGAAGCCATTAAAAGTTAGTATTATTACAATCCTCTGAACGAATGTCTCACATGGCTTCTTTAAATCTACGTTAAGCTTAATGCACACAGATTGTTCTAACCAAGAACTGAAGAATATTTAAAAACGATATTTTGAACTAATATTCGATCTCTTTTTGCAGTTTTTTAAATAAACATGAAAGAAGATTAAAAAATTGGTTATAGTCATAAACAAAAGAAAAAGAAATCTGAATGTCAATTCATTAACCGCGTGACCTAATGCATACAAGGAGGTTAGCAAGGTTAAAATAAAAAAAGCAGATTTCAATTGACCCAAATGGCCTTTTAGCTTTGCGTATGGATATAGCTTCACTCTGCATTCTCTGTCAGTCTCTTGTATTATGGAGGAATGGTTTGGACTTATACTGGCTGCTCCGCTATCATACCACACGTCGCAACTTCCATGCACAGAACATGGATAACTGGCACTCCGCCATCATGCTTGTAAAGAAACTCTTTTGATTTTCAAACCTTCGAGAAAAGAACCTGAAGGTCGCATGATCTCATGAGTCTACTCGTTTGACAAATAAATTATAAAAAAAAAATGAATAAGTGTAAAAAAGTCAACCGACAAATTCTTTTTTATGTCGCGTTCCAGTTATTCAACAAAATCTCGGAAACTGTGTATTCATTTAGTGCAAAATTCCATTGCTTCAAAAAATAAATTAAAAACAAACAATATCAATTCGACACGGGAACACACTCGGATTCATATTTATCATGAAATACGAACGCCGAAATGAAATTGGATATCGTTATCTCGTTTGCACGCACACGGTGTGAAAGGAAGGTTCGACTTTTTTTTCTTTTGTTTCGACGTTGTCTGTCTGTCTGTTGATTTGCTCACGCCGGTATCGAGTCCCAATATTAATTAATGGTTGAGTATGCTTTGTTTCTTCATGCCTGATTGGTATTTTAACGCTTAAAGTTTGTGGTTCCGTACCACTTCGCTAATCGAAATCATTTTTAGGACTAGTGTCTGTAGAACTCTGAAATAGCTTTAAGGTTTTTTTTTTGGCACTGCCTGTTGGTTTAGTGGTTATTGACCCTGATTGCTCAGGTTCTACCACCTAGGACAATTATTGTGTGATAGGCGCCATGTTTGATAATAAAGGTTAGCTCAATACCGGCTCCACTTAATTTAAGGGTCAATTATTATTATTAGCTTACGAGTTATGAGCTATAAAAATAAAGAATAGTTTATAGGGAAAGTTAAGAAAACTAATTTTAATACTAATTATATCAAGCTTCCATGTGACTCTAGAATTATCATCTGAATCAGTAATAAATAGAACACTATCTCAACCGACATCGATGTTATCTCTGATATGAAGAGATAAACTCGACAACCACGAGCGTTTTTCCTATCACACGAGGACCCCTAACTTTGATTAATGGTTCCGCAACACAACGCGTAGAGCAATAGCATTGATTCCTATCTATTGTTAATACTACTTGTTAATTACAAACGCTATAAATGGCGGCTGATACATACATTGTTTTAGTAGCGACCGACGGCGGAACGGATTGCTGGATCATTGTAATTTGATGTTTTATTTTCTAAGATAAGGTAGATAAAAAAGACAGAGAGACGGAAGAATTAGCCATAGATAAAAAAATATAAAAACTATAAGATAAGAAGTAAAGAAGAGTAAAGAGGGTAATTTTTAAAACAAACCATAATAAATATTGATACATTCAATTTGTGAGTAACAAAATTGTTTAAAGGCTTAAAAGAGATGCTTTGAAGTCGCTTTAACAGTAGTAATTAATTATAAATCCCTTTACTGGACTTATAAATGTAATTTTATCATCATCATCCTTTAGTAGTGCACTACTGGACATAGGCCTCTCCTTAGAAAGGAGGTTTATGCCTACTATACCACTTTTCACCACTAAATTTTATTTACTTCGATGATATAATTTAATAATAATGTTTCGGACATCTGATACACAACGCCATCTAGTTTCAAACTAAGCAGAGCTTGTACTATGAAAGCTAGATTGACTGATAGAATACTTGTATACTTTTTTTGTAAATACATACATATTATACATAGAGAAGACCCAAACTCCGGAACAAATATTTGTAGATCATACAAACATTTGGTTCGACCCGGGAATCGAGACCTCAGCACAGCAGTCGCATAAATAACCACTGCGCTACCGAGGCAGTCAGGCAGGCGGTCAATTTAAAATTTATCTCTCACACATTTGGGTACAATCAGATTTCCGTAAAATCATCTTAGTCTAGTAATTTACATTACGGGATCGCATTTGGCTTTGACTATTGATCATCATCATGCAGAATCATTTATAATTTATAAAGAACGTTTTATGTCCTTGTATTTATTACTATCAGCTGAAGGAGCATCCACAATCAAAAATATTAGATACTTCGATGATAAGGTATTATTCTTTTGCCCGTGTTCAAGTCATAATTTTTTTTTTTTTTTTTTTTTTTCTATCACATACACACAACGCCATCTAGTCCCAAACTAAGCAGAGCTTGTACTATGGATACTAGACAACTGATATAAATACATATATACTTTTTTTTGTAAATACATACATATTATACATAGAAACACCCAGACCAAATCAAACATCAAATGTTCATGCACACAAATGTTTGACTTGAGCGGGAATCGAACCCGCGACCTTTGGAATAGCAGTCCGTTACACAAACCACTACGCCATCCGGTCGTCAAAAAAGGTAAAAAACATTGGAAAAAAGGTAACACTGACTGGGTACTTGGTATGTTATTGGTATTGGTGTTGTGGTAGATATATAGACAATAGCGGAAATGTCGTATCACGCGTATGAGCTGGCTCTACCGGAGTGATGCCACGGGTCTCACAGAAAACCGGTGTTAAGTAATTCCTTCATTACTTTTCACCAAGACCATTACCGGAGACCCGGCTCTCCCCTTCGCCTATTCTAGGGAAAAAGCACCCTAAGAGTTCAGGTGTCCATGGGCCGTGATATCACTTAGGTGACATGCTTAAAACAAATACCCTTTGTTGTAAATGTATGTTTTTTTAGTATGTAAATAATCACAAAGAAGCCCCGTCAAATAGTCTATCTCTTGTCTTCTTATGATGAAAGAGTCAATGATACCGCTTTTCCTTCTCTTTCGTTTTTTAATTTTAAATACACGAAAATTATGAGTTATGAACCTTTGATTAGTTTTCTTTATTTCGTATTCTTTATCCGTGTAGTGACGGATTAAGAATACGAAATGTCACTACCCCAATTCATCCCGTGGGTGTCGTAAGAGCCGACTAAGGGCGCAAAACAACGCAGGACACCAGCACTGCAAAAAGAAGGAAAACTTGACACAAACCCTATACCAACCCGTCTGGCCAGCGTGGTATAGTAGGCCAAAACCTCCTTTCTAAGGAGAGGCCTATGTCCAGCAGTGGACTAGTAAAGGCTGTTGATGATGATGATGATGATGATGATGATTAGTTTCTACTTTCTGAGATAAAATTGAACATTTTGTAATGCGACAATATCGCTATGTATTTCTGTTTGATTCTATGAATTATTAAATATTTGTAATTTATATAAATAATTTAATGTATTGCTTTGTATAATGATTTGTGGTCTGTATATCTGATCCAATGTAGTATAGCATATAAGCGTTTGGTATCACATAAACATACAGATACAATAGAGAGGATTTCAAATTCTCAACTTCAAAAAATTCCGTTCGAAAATTGAAAGTTAGAAAATCTCGAATTGCCGTAACGCAGCAACATATAATATAAAAAGTGAAACATTGCTTAAAATAAAATTTTGCCAAATTTATATTTCGTTCACTTATATAATATATTTTCTAAACCAGGATACCGCTTTGAAAATTATAGAGCGTAAAAAGAAATCTTACTGACTGATTTATGGCTTAAAATATTTTTTAACGACTCAATTATTTTATTATTTAGAATTGAAAGTGAATTTTTTTAAATATTTCTAAGGATTTACCTTCAAATAAACTTACGTAAATACCCAATTAGACTTTTATATTTTTTTTAATTAATGGCTTATACTTATGTAATTTATTAATTATCTGGATACATTTCACAGTTTTTAGTTTGCAGAACTAAGTTTAAAGATTTATAGTTATTAATATTTATATTTATTATTATTATAGTTATTAATATTATATAGACACCACGAGGATACGTCTACATGTCTTTATAATTTTTTTCTTTTCACATTCCTACTATAAACTTGTAAACATAACCTATAATCCGATATCCAGCCATCATCGTTTGAAAAGACAAAAACGAGCCAATGGCGCGTACACATTCAAATTTTGAACGCAACATACAAGATGGCGACCTTCGCGAGTCATATATCAATCGTGATTTACACAGCGCAACCAGGGTCGGTCGACGACCGCCGAATTTCGTTCA